CATTATTTTTTTTTTTCCTCATTATTTTGGATTTAAAAAGCGCCACAGCTGGAGCGGGGAGGGGAGGGGGGAAGAGAGCCCACATCTGGAGGAGCAGCTCTGCCCCCGCTTCTGGGCTTCCCCAGCGCCAGATGTGGTTGGTTCCAGGTGGACCCAGATGTGCTGGTTCTGGGGGACAACCTGGACCCAGATGTGCTGGTTCCAATGGAGAACCTGGACCAGCCCCACTGCCAGGGTCCTCCAGCCCCACCACCAGGGTCTTCCAGCTCGATCAGGTTCTCCAGCCCCACCACCAGGCTCTCCAGCCCCACCACCAGGTCTCTCCAGCCCCACTACCAGAGTCCTCCAGCCCTATGGCAAGGGTCCTCCAGCCCCACCAGGCTCTCCAGCCCCACCACCAGGTCTCTCCAGCCCCACTACCAGAGTCCTCCAGCCCTATGGCAAGGGTCCTCCAGCCCCACCAGGCTCTCCAGCCCCACCACCAGGTCTCTCCAGCCCCACTACCAGAGTCCTCCAGCCCTATGGCAAGGGTCCTCCAGCCCCACCAGGCTCTCCAGCCCCACCACCAGGTCTCTCCAGCCCCACTACCAGAGTCCTCCAGCCCTATGGCAAGGGTCCTCCAGCCCCACCAGGCTCTCCAGCCCCACCACCAGGTCTCTCCAGCCCCACTACCAGAGTCCTCCAGCCCTATGGCAAGGGTCCTCCAGCCCCACCAGGCTCTCCAGCCCCACCACCAGGTCTCTCCAGCCCCACTACCAGAGTCCTCCAGCCCTATGGCAAGGGTCCTCCAGCCCCACCAGGCTCTCCAGCCCCACCACCAGGTCTCTCCAGCCCCACTACCAGAGTCCTCCAGCCCTATGGCAAGGGTCCTCCAGCCCCACCAGGCTCTCCAGCCCCACCACCAGGTCTCTCCAGCCCCACTACCAGAGTCCTCCAGCCCTATGGCAAGGGTCCTCCAGCCCCACCAGGCTCTCCAGCCCCACCACCAGGTCTCTCCAGCCCCACTACCAGAGTCCTCCAGCCCTATGGCAAGGGTCCTCCAGCCCCACCAGGCTCTCCAGCCCCACCACCAGGTCTCTCCAGCCCCACTACCAGAGTCCTCCAGCCCTATGGCAAGGGTCCTCCAGCCCCACCAGGCTCTCCAGCCCCACCACCAGGTCTCTCCAGCCCCACTACCAGAGTCCTCCAGCCCTATTGCAAGGGTCCTCCAGCCCCACCAGGCTCTCCAGCCCCACCACCAGGTCTCTCCAGCCCCACCACCAGGGTCTTCCAGCTTGATCAGGTTCTCCAGCCCCACCACCAGGTTTTTCTCCTGCCCTACCACAGGGTTCTCCACCCACACCACCAGGTTCTCCAGCCCCACGAGCACTACAGCTGCTCAGGGACCAACCAGAGATTTTGGGGTGGGGGGTGGAGGACCCATAGTTGTCCCCTCCAACCGTGAGCAGCCAAATCCTGATCCCACAACTCCCAGAAACCCCCGTCCCACTCTATCACACCTTGTTTTAATGGGGTACCCGCAAAAAGAAGCCACCACGGCCCGGCCAAAATTTGTCCTGGTGTATTTTTGAAGGCAGCAACGTAAAAATCCAGACGAGAAGAGTACGGGCGGCTGGAGGGGGGGTGGAAATTGGGGAAGAAAACGTGCATTTGGGCAACAGTGTATCCGATAAAAACGGGCAACGGGAAGGGAGCGAACCTCGGGGGGGAGACGGAGACCCGACGGTTTGAGGATGGACCTTCTCTTCAAACACTTCAAGGTTTATGAAGGTGGAAAGCCAAAAAAAAAAGGGCTTTTTAGTCTCTAAAGGAGGAGCTGGATGTTCTCCTCCAGCGGGTTCCTGGGGCAGGAGCCAAACCTGGTGGTCCCCAAACCCCGTAGCCCTCTGTCCCCTCCCTGTGGCCACCCTGAGGTTGGGGACCGACGTGCCACCACTGTCGCCGTGCCACCACCCCACCGGGGCTGCGCGCCCGAGTCCTGAGAACGTCCTTCTGCCGTGACGGGTGGTTCGGAGGAGGGGTGGGCGGGACGCTGAGATGCGTTTCTGGGATGGAAGGATCCATCTGTCCGTCCGTCCGTCAATCCATCCATTCATCAGCCTAGCCATCCATCTGTCCATCGATTCATCTGTCCATCCGTCCATCCGTCCATTAATCTACCCAGCCATCTGTCCATCCATCCGTCCGTCCAACTGTCCACCAATCTACCCACCTATCTGTCCATCCATCCGTCCATCCATCCATCAGTCTCTCCATCCATCCATCTGCCCATCCATCTGTCCATCAGTCCATCCATTGTCCGTTCATCTGTCCATCCATCCATCTATCCACCCATCCATCCGTCCACCCACCCATCCCATCCATCCGTCTGTCTGTCCACCCATCCGTCCACCCATCCATCTGTCCATCCATCCAGCCATTCATCCATCCAACTGTCCACCAATCTACCCACCTGTCCATCCATCCATCTCTCCATCCATCCATCCTTCAATCTATCCATCCATCCGTCTGTCCACCCATCCATCCATCTGTCCGTTTGTCCACCCATCCGTCCACCTATCCATCTGTCCATCCAGCCATCCATCCGTCTGTCCAACTGTCCACCAGTCTACCCACCTGTCCATCCATCCATCCATCCATCTCTCCATCCATCCATCCTTCAATCTATCCACCCATCCACCCGTCCGTCTGCCTGTCCACCCATCTGTCCACCCACCCATCGATCTATCCACCCGTCCATCCGTCCGTCCATGGCCGAGGTGGGCGCCCAAAGGCACCTTGAGGGCCTCGAGCCAAAGCCGTCACTGATGGGGTCCCACCAGCAGCTCCTTGCGGAGGTGCGTCCGCAGGTGCTTCATGAGGGAGGAGCTGGACATGAAGCACTTGGTGCATTTGGTGCATTTATAGGGTTTCTCCCCGGTGTGGATCCTCTGGTGGATGATGAGGGTGGAACTGGCCCGGAAGCTCTTCTCGCAGTAAGAGCAGCTGTAGGGTTTCTCCCCGGTGTGGATACGTTGGTGCCGACGCAACGTGGTGTTCTCCCGAAAAGCTTTCCCGCAGTCGTAGCAGACGTAGGGCCTGGGTCCTACGTGGCTCTTCTGGTGGAGGAGGAGAGCCGAGTGGACGGTGAAGCCCATCCCGCAGTCGGCGCACTGATAGGGCTTCTCCACCAAGTGTTTTTTCCGGTGGCGCTTGAAAGACGAACTTTCGAAGAAGGCTTCTCCGCAGTCGGCGCAGGGGTAGGGGGGTTGGCCCCGGTGGGTCCTGAGGTGGGCGACGAAGAGGGAGTTCTTGTTGAAGGTTTCCCTGCACTCGGGACACTTGTAGGTGCCCTCCTCCATGTGGCTCTTGCGATGTTTGCTGAGGGATTTGTTGGCCATGAAGGTCTTCCCGCAGTCGGGGCACTGGTAGGGTCTCTCCCCCGTGTGGATGCGGCGGTGGATGATGAGGGCGGATTTGGAGGTGAGTTTTTTCCCGCAATCCGGACAGGCGAAGGCGGCGCCTTCCGTGTGGCTCTTGCGATGTTTGCTGAGGGATTTGTTGGCCATGAAGGTCTTCCCGCAGTCGGGGCACTGGTAGGGTCTCTCCCCCGTGTGGATCCGTCGGTGGATGACGAGCGCAGAGTTGGAAGTGAGGTTTTTCCCGCAGTCGGAGCACCGGAACGGTCCGTTCTCCATGTGGAGCTTACGGTGTTTCTTGAGGGACTTGGTGGAAGCGAAGCGTTTCTCGCAACTGGGGCACTTGTAGGGTTTCTCCTGGCAGTGGGTCTTCTGGTGGGCCTTAAGGGCGGAGCTACAGGTGAAATTTCTCCTGCAGTTGGAGCAGGTGAAGGGTTTCTCCCCGAGGTGGACCCTCTGGTGGCGGTTGAGGGACGAACCGCGGCTGAAGCTCTTCCCGCACTTGCCGCAGGCGTGTTTTTTTCTCCTGTCGTGACTGGAAGAAGCCAATCTCCTCCCGGAGTGGTTCTTGGGGTGCTCGGAACCGGGGGAGATGCCACCTTTGGGTTTCCTGGCTGAGCCGCCCTCTTCCTCCTGGGAACTGGTGTCCTCCGTCTCGCTCGTCCACCCGTCGTCGTCGTCTGCTGGGAAAAGCGGAGTGAAAAAGAAGAACCCACCTCCACCCTGGACGTGCCGAGAAGGAGCTTGAGAAGGGTTGGAGAGAAGCACCTCCCCAAAAAAAGTAGCGGGTTCCATCCCTCAATCCTTCTCCAGAAGAAGCAGCGTCCTCCTGCCAGGAGGAGCGTTTGGCACCTCTGGCTCCTGACGCCAACCCGGGTTCCTCACGCCCATCCCAGTTACACCAGTTTGCAGGACGGTGGTGCTCGCTGGAGGCAACGGCGTCACCTGGCGCCTCCGTTTTGGGGTGGGAAACACTTCCCTTACCTGAGGGTGAAGAGTTGGAGCCGGAGGAGCTCCCGGCGTCTCGGCAGCTTCTCCACCGTCTCCTTTTCCTCGTCCACAACCTCAAGAGGGGCCGCGCCAGTTGTTCCTCCTCTTCCTCTTCCTCCTCCGAGCTGCGGATGTCGGGGATCCAAACCTCCTCCCCTCTCTCCAGCCGCGCCGCCGGGTCGGGGTTGTACGTGGAGAAACCTGCTCGGGGAGACGGCGGTGGTGGATTACCGGTGTAGACGGCAACCATCTGAGATACCTCCTCACCGGAGGGAGAGGTGGGACCTCAAACCACATCCCGCTTCGAAACGAGGAAGAAAATCCAAGCGCTGAGAGGCCTCCGGGGAGGGGAGGCCCGGCAGGGTTTGCTGAGGGGATCTACAAGAGCTTTGCAGTGGTGGAGAAGACATCCCAAGGAAGAAGAAGGTTGGAGAAGGTCAGACTCAGCCCCAAGACCACGGTTGAAGAAGACAGAAAAGCCCAACGAGATGAAGAGGCGGTTGAGCAAAGGCCGAAGGCATCCGTCTGGAAAGACTCGGGGGAACGTCGATCAGGAGGAGGAGGAAGAGGAGGAGGAGGAGGAAGGGTGGAAAAACGCGGGAGGAGAACCAGGTCTGGACATGTCCCCGCTCCCTGGTTTCACTTGGAGAAACACCTTCGTTAGGGGGGACAACCCCCCGCTCCCAAATTAAGGGCTTTTGCCTCCCGGGAAATGGGACACGGGAGGGGATGGTGGAACATCTACTCCAAGGGCGGAGGTTGGAGAAGGAAGAGACCACGTTGGAGGTCCTTCGCGCCCTTCGAGGCTGAATCATTGCCGTTAATTAGTCATAGGATGGTCTGGGTTGGACGGGACCATTAAGATCGTTAAGTCCAACCATAATTAGCTGTCAGCTGGAGCATCTCGGTGCGCCCGAGGATGTCTTCTGGTGGACAACATCTAAGCAACCCAACGGTAACATGATGGGTCAAGAGCTGGTGCTGCCCGACCTCAAAATTAAGGCCAAAAAAACCAAAGAAGGACCCTAAAAAATTGGCAGGAAACCCGCGGTAGGGGGCGATCCAGTTGATGTTGATGCCTCTGGTGACCAAGTGACCCCAAAAGTCCACGTCCTCCCCCACCCAACCGCCCCAAAACCTCAACTCGAGTCATCTGCCCACCTCGCCCACCCTACCGCCTGTCTCCTGCCGGGGGGGGCAGTTCTCCAGCCCCAAAGTGTCCCTTTTTGGGTGGCCAGGAGCTGTCAGGAGAGGGCACTGCGAGGCCACAGGAGCCACCAGGCCCCAGCTCCCAGGCGGGACATCCCTCCAGAAGATCCCCTCAAGTATTTTAACTCATTTCTGGCCATTTTAACTCATTTCTGGTGGGTTTCGCTCCTCCTGGAGGTGGGAGAACATCCACCATTTGAGCCTGGAGCACCTCAACAGGCGTCTGAGGGACTTGGGTGTCGAGAAGCCCATCCGTCTCCTGGTGAGGATGGAGACAGGGCTCGGGTGGTTCAACCACGTTCTCGGCTAAGTTCCTTGGACATTATTAATTAAAATAAAAGCTAATTAGGAAGCGCTCTGCGTGGAGCAAAGCCCCACGAGATGCCTCCTGGAGCAGAAGAAGGGGAACCCACCGAGGTTTAGGGTTGGTCCCACCGTCCCCACCACCGCGGGCATCTCCTCCACCTTTCCTGGTGGTCTTGGGGGGAAAACCCCGATTTCTCCCCTAAAATTGAGGCGGGAAAAGCGACGGCGGACGTCGGGAGCGGGAGGAGACCCAGAAGCCCACCACGCTCCGCCGCCAGGATCCGCCACCCATGAAAAACGGGGAGAAAAAGGAGTATTTCTTCCAAAAGGAGCTTTGGTGGTGGAAACCAGGAAGGGTGGGAAGGTGGTGGGGCTGGACGGGTCCTTCCACCCCCCACCGGACCGGGAAAAGCCACCGGGAGGCCCCGGGGTGGGGGTTGGGGGGTCCCTACCTGGGAGGGCGGG